TGGGGTATTTTTCACTAATACGCTGCTGAAGAGGAGCAGCATTAAACCTTTATACCAGTGCAGCTGTTCTAGGTAGTTACTGGTTTTATAAACCTGCAGCATGTCTGAGGATGGCAGGATCCATTTGCACATTCTTGCTTTGCCTAGCATACCTCGTACAGTGATGTCTGTGCTTTACATCAAAATGGAATTAGGACAGGGCCATATGTGTTTGATGATAAACTGCAAAATTCTGCAGTGGCTCAGCTGAAGGAATAAAGAGGTCCATCATGACTCTGCACAGGTTTTTAGTTGAGGAGGGAAGTTTGGGTTTTTAACAGCTTTCAGAAATACAACAAGCTGGAGATAAAACTAAAATGCACTGCCATGCAGTGCCCCAGGGCTGTCTCTGACTGATCCAAGAGCTTTTGTTTATGACACGGAGACCAATTGATTTACATTATTTTGCTTTCAACAAGCCTCTCATGAAGAAGACAGTGACATGCTAAAGTGCCAAAGAAGAAGGAAGGCACACTGATGAAAAAAAGACACTGCAGCCATTAGCATCGATCAGCCATTGATCAGTGTATAAGTAAGCAAAGAGGTACAGGGTGATTATTGTGTATAAAGAAACCTGATTTAATCTCATTCAGAAGGTGTATTTTCTGTGAAGAGGCACTTTGGTCGGGAGGCATAAACTTCATTAGCACAAAACCAAGTCATGTGAGGAGGTTTGTCTTGGAGATTATGGAGACCCATCCTTTCACAGACATGAGGATACAAAAATATTTTTAGATGATACACTTGTTAATTGGGAGCTTTACGTCAAAGATTCCATGCAGGACCTCACCTGTGTTGTTTGCTTAATTAATTAGATGGTGTATTTTTTGTTTTGTTTTGTTTTGTTTTGTTTTGTTTTTTAGTGCTAGCTTAAAACCACACTATCACATCACTACGTGAATATGATTACTTTGGGAGAATAAGCGGGGGGAGGAGGACAGCTGAGAAAGAATTTGGTTTTCTGAGATGCTCGAGATGCTGCATGTATGTTGAATAACAAACATTTTGTTTATTTAGTAATGCTGATTTTGTTATAAGCAGGTTCTTCAAACTTAGGCAAACCTGAAAGAGCATTCTCTTCAGTGAAAAAAAACACCCAACCATCAACTTGACAGAGGCATGAGTTAACTCCTATTACACTTAGTCTGAGCTAAAACGACATCGCTTTTCACTCTCACCCTGAGACCTAATGAGCTTCAGCACTTGAGACGTGAAAGACCAATAACTTAATCCACTGTTTGAAGCAATCCCTATTTTTAAAGCAGTGCTGTATTTGATTAAGCCACTGTAAAGCTCAGCAGAGCTGTGTCAAGTTAAATTATATTCTTTAAAGTAAAAATGCCATTTTACATGAAACATAAAACTTCAGTCTTATTGCATTTTTATAAGAAAACCAAGTACTATTTATTTACAGCCAGACAGCCCCCATTAATAGCAATCTATAGCTGGCAGACATTACAGGACTGAATGCGTTTTAAAGTACTAAAATATTATAATGCAGATTTATAGATTAAAAATATTGAACTATGTTTTCAAAGGTACTTACAGATCCCCTAATTCAAAGGCAGAAGATACCCTTGTGATAATCACTGAGTGATTATGCAAGTCCCAATATGATATAAACATTGTTGCTTTATCAACCAAACTTCTAATCTCATCCAAACTGTCCTTGCTAGCTCAACAAAGTATGTTTCCCACGATCCTACATTGACTGGCATTTGTAACATTGCCCTTCTTAAGCCTGTTACCTGGGTCACTCTGTTCGCACTGTCTAAGTATTGGCACAATATTAGATTTCTTCTAGTCCTCTGGAAACTTACCAGTGTTCAAGGCATTAAAAATCAACACTAAATGCCTGGACAGTTCCTTGGCCACCTCTAGTAAAATTATTGGATGCAGGTTGTTCATATTCAATGTTTTTAAAATTATCAACTTTGTCATTTTGGAAAAGAAACTAATACATTAGCATCATAATAATATATGACTACGTAGCTTGGCTTTTCCTCATATACAGAACAGAAATGTTTCTTGAGCACTTCTGCTTTTTCTGCTTTGTTATTAAATATTCTACCATATCCACCCAGGAATAGACCATCACAATGTTCTGGTTGTTTCGCTACCTTGACTATAAATTCTCTTTGTGTACTTGAGTTCTCATCGTTTTTCAATTCTTTCTAGCATCTGTACAATGTGGGGTTATAAATTTACCTTTTCTCCATTTCTTATATAATAGTGATAATAAATACTCATTTCCCTTCCAAGCTAAGCTGTTCAACAAGTTTTGCCTTTCTTCTTGAACATCATATTGTATTTTTTGAGGGATGAAGAAAAATTCTGAGACTGGCTGTAGTGGGGCCAGCACACCATTCCCACTAAACTGCAAAGCTTACGAAGATAAGATGATCCGTTTGGCTTTGCCAACAGACACCAAGCCTATTCTTGTTCTATCCAAGATCCTCCAGACATTAACCTGTCATTGCAAAGTCATTTGATAGTGATACTCCATATAGAGCAACATCAACTTAAGATACTCAAAACTCATTTCATTTGTGACCTGAATCATATGTGTATTGCTATCTACAACAGTAAAGATTAACAAATATAAACAACAGACATGAAAATTACCAACGATGGTACTTAGTCTGTACCTAATTCTTTTGTTACCAAAAAATTCAGCACCAACAGGACTTACACTGATTAACTTCCAAACTTAGAAATAAGATATACCATCAGTCACGTCTGTGAGATGTACATCTCTCTGACGAATTTATAAAAAATGTATGTGACACACTGGAATGGATGTGTCTTTGGCATTGGGATCTCAATAGCTCAATATGTTCTTGCAACATCAGCAGTATTTCAAATGTGCAGATGTTCTAGCAGGATAAACAGGATACTACATACCAAAGGCTATTTTTATTCAAACTTCTTCAGATTTGGAAGACTTCAGGTCCTCAAAATATCCTGCCATTTTCTTTGGTTATTTAAACTGAGATTCAGCCTGATATTAGTTACTCAGAATTGCAGATATTGGCCAAAAAATCGCAAACCTCAGCAACAACCAACCTTGAACTATCTCCTAAATGTATATCCCACATGTTCTGTTTCAGTACGGAAGCACCTGATTTTGTCAGCAGGCTGTACTGGTGAGAGGAGGAAAGGTGAACAGAAGCACTGTCAAATTGTTGTCCCCTCACTTGTTACTACAGAGAGAATGACTGCCTTGTGCTAGCGCATTGGGGCATTTGGGAGGATAGAAGTAAATTCTATAAAGCTAATCCCACTAGTAGTTTCCCCTATACTTTATTAATTGACCATATATATGGTGTGAAATTCAGCCATTAAACTGAGAGCTTGTTGGCTGAAGCAGTGCAGACCATTTACCAGAATGCCTTGGGAAGCTAAACAAACTTTCTTTCCATGCTGTGCTCATGGGAACATGAAGTTTTCTCTCACAGAGGTTAAAATGTTTGAAAAGTGGAGCCCTATATAAAATTCTGTTTGTGCAGCTGAAGTTCTGACGCTGTTTACCTGAAATGTTTCTATAATTCCTAAACTTTTGAGTTTCAGGTTGGTGATTTGCGAGTAGCAGATTGCACTCTCCTGAACTAAATCTAACAAGCGCCACAAAGTGAAAATAAACTGGAGAGACTTGAAATAAAAATCACTTCAAGAAATCTAAGCACGGTGGGTTTTTTGTGTGTTGCTTTTTTTTTTTTTCCTCCCACTTTAAGCCAACTAAACTCCCAACACATTCTGATCATCTCGCCACAGTGTGTCTGTGCTGGTGACAACTGATTCATGTGTACATTTACATATCCCCTCAGTGCCAGCAGCAGAATACAAAATGGGTCCTCCTGCTCTGGCAGATGACACAGCGCTGGCAAATCAGGAGGAGCTGTCAAAAACAGCTGTCCATTAAAAGAGTTTGCTGAAACAACTAAGAGCTGTTTGAAAATGCTAGGTGGTAGAATTTAATTGGAGTAGCAACTGTTCAAAATTAAGATTAAAAAGGACCAGTCGGTACGTGTGGGTTTCAGGTTTAGGGGGTGTTTTTATATATGGATATTTACATTTGGGATATGAACAATTAAGTCTGCCGATTTCTTCTGCCTCTTTCTGTGTATGCTCATGCTCCATCCCTTGGGTCAGAAAGTTCAGGCATGTCCATAACCGATCTGTTGTGCTTTAAGCACAGCAAGTATCCTCACTTGTACCCAGGCAGTTTTATTTTAGAGATACAGGGAAAAATGTGAAATTTCTGGCTTTTAAAAGCAGCTTGTTTGTGTGGGTGCAAATGCTATTATGCTGCACTGCTGGTACATTATTAGCTGCCCATGTGGACAGGGGATGTGGTTGGTTTTCTGCAGTGGGAACAAGATTCAGGCACAGACGGCCCAAACTTAGCTTCCAGCGAGTGTGTTTGATTACACCATGCACCCTATTTAAAGACCGCATTTGTCTCAGCACATAAAATTGCATGCACATAAATGAAAGGCTTTATGAAGTTTTCCCCATAGTATGGATATAGTCTTGGGAAAAGAGACCAGTGTAACAGTCCAGAAAATTTCATTTTTCTCTAAGAGCTTGATATGAATGAGCTGGAGGCAATACTAAGTCCTGGTCTGGCTTAGGTGGTTTCTGAACTCAAAACTTGACTATGGAATAAATGTAACAGAACTGAAGCACAGGAAAGCAAAACTGTTTGGCAAAAAATAGAGATCCTGCATATTCTCCCTAGCTTAGCTGAATATTTTTTTCACCAAAACCATTTGAAAAAATACTGAAATGAAGTCAGTGTGTTTCATTTTGATAGTGTCAAAACAAAATTATTTTAATTTTGCAACTTAAAAGGTTTTATGTTTCAAAATTTTGTTCTTTCATTTTTTTATATATTTTTTTTTCTTCAGAGAAAAATATCCAAAATCCCAGGAAAAAAGTTTTTTTTTGAGCACAAATAAGTGTTTCTTTTTTGGATATACATATATTTTTTTCCTTCAGTAGGCTGTAGCACAGGCAGGCAGAAGATCTGCATTTAGTTCTTCATTTTGACATGGAGTTCTCATCACAGTGCCTCGGGCACTGACTCTACTTATGTGCTTTAGCTTGACGCATCTGTAAGTGTGTGTCTAAAACATTTCTAGTACTTCGATTACTTAGTACTTACTCTTTTACTGATAGAAGTAAAAATCTCCTTGTTTTCTTTTTGAAAGCAAACGCCATGGGGCACTAACTTTGTCCTCTCCATTGCAAGTTGATGGACTTGGTCTTGGGCAGTGAATCTGGAGAGACAATCAATAGGTAGTAATTACATAGCCTAGATTTCTTCCTACTTGAAATACATCTTAAATACTTGAAATACATCTCAAACAATTTCAGAATGGCCATGGACATTTTGCAATAGTATTTTGTAAGCTTTAGTGCCCCTGAACTTTTTCCTTGGTTATAACTTTTTAACACGTTGGCCCCCAGTTTTGGATTGTTTCCTTTAAATAAAATCTGCTTGAAAATGTAAAACAAACAAAAATAACACCACAAAAAATGAGGAAGCATGCAGGCACTAAAATTAAATTTCCCATTCCGAAAGAAAAAAATAGAAGTTGAAAAGGCATTAGGCTCAGTTTCCCAGCGGAAACCTTACAGTAATGCCTGTGACTACAAGTATATAGCTCAGTGTATGCAATACATTGCAACTAGAAGTAGCAGTGACAGCTGGTGGGTTAGTAAACAGATTTCATTTCAGTTTTTGTCTGAAAATTATACAAATTTTTCTTTAATATGATTCTTTGCTACATCTTCTGTTTCCATTCAACGATGAGGCCATTTCCAATTTGTATCCAAGCTCTGCTAAATATTTTATTGGACTTAACACACATAAATGAAACAAACAAAATTTATTCTGAAACACTTGAGTGAAGTTTGTAGTCTATTGGTATGATTAAAAAATAATAGAGTTTAGAAGAGGGTAGGAATAAAGGGAAAGCTTTTTAACAGCCTCATACATACATACACCATTAAAACCTGATGCATCCTTTTAGGACGTTTTACTTGAACAGAAACATATTTTTTCTCTAGTCTTTTCTGAAATTTCCTTCATGAAATTCCTCAAAGTAATTTCTGTTTTCTCCCCCCTTTCTTCCCTAAACTGCATCAAAAGCCTCTGAAATGATGTAGATTTGAGGAAAAAAAATATTTATGCAAAAAAAGCAGAAGAAAGGAAATCTAAAGTGATCCAAAAATATTATCTAATGACACAAAAACACAGTGGTCTCTGTATTTATTTGCATAGCTATGTTTTAAGAATTGTAGGTCTAGAAATTACTCTAACCAAGTCCAGTGAGAGCAGATGGAAAAGGGAATTTAAAAGAGATAAAGAATGTACAAGTTAACTGTGATTTTCGTCCATAGGGAGCTTTAATATTAACACCTAGTAAGCGTGAAGCAAACTCATTACTGGATGCCCTCTTTTATACATGTTTCAAGATTGCGTCGTTCAATGCAAAGAGCAGAGTGCTGTATCACTGCAGTGGAAACTCTCAGCCTTCCTTGAAACGATACTAAAACCTCTGCACACCAGGCCACTGAAAAGCTATTTGAACTAAGTAAAGCTGCCATGATGTTATCCGCAGGGCAAAATCCAAAAGCAATCTCTGGGTCCAGCCACATACAAAGGGGTCAACTGCATAGGCAACACTGATCTCAGCCAGAGCTAAGGCAGCTCTAAATACAAATGTAAATTGAGAAACAAAAAAGGGGAATATGAAGAAATGAGGGATCATTCTTAAATCAAAAGCTATGGCAGGTCACACTGCTCACTCATCTGTGTGTGCACTTCGTGATTCTCATTCAGTTCTTCTGGATTCTCAAACAAAGTGCGGAGTCCTAAAAATATTTGGAACTATTACAAAGCATAAATTATAAATGTGTCGAGAAAATGGAAAAAGGTGTCTTGGGCCTACTTAGAGCACAAAATGATCTCAACCATTATTCAACAATGATATGAAGATCTTTTATTTCATTTCTTCTTAACAGTTCCCTGTGTTTGCTATCATTTCTTGCCCAGCACCGTGTCAATAATTACTAAATTAGCAGGACGCCTGTACAATTTCAGCTCAAGTGTTATTACTGACAAGTCAAACAAAGAAAGCTGATCGAAAAGATGGGACTCCATCTCCTTATTTAAATGGACCGTGTTCACAGAAGAAGATTGAAACTCCTTTTTCTTCAAAGGAAGAAGGGAAGGGTATAGTTTACATTTTGTGCTGCTCAAGGACAGAGAGTCAGAGGAAATGCCTTTTTAATGTAAACCTCTTTTCATTTCCAAGGGACAAAAATGAAGGTTATTTAAAAGAATCATGCTTGGTGGAAGAAGTAATTATGTATTTTTTTTTCAAATCTCAGAGGAATAATGCTTTTATATTTCCCTGAGATGACCCAATTCGCTTGTGATGTGCTCCCTTAAATGTAAGTGTGCTGACTTCTTTGAACCTCATTGTTTTTAGTGTCTAAAGAAGCTCCTCTTATACCACATTGTTGATTGATTTCGGCTCTGTACCAGTGCCTAAATATCTATAAAGCTATTGCTGGTTTATACAACCCACAAGTGAAGATGGTGTGTAATCTTTACTCCTGGATATCTCTGAAATGCTCACATGTAATGACATGTTCAAATTAATTCTTGGAAAAGTATTGCTCCATTATATGGGATCTAAGTTTGTAACTTATTTGGGCTGGTGAGATCGACAGTCTTGAAAACACTAACAGATTTCCAAAATTGTGCAGACCTTTCTTAATATTTATTTGATGTTATCTCTCTGAAGTTGTTTTTGGTGGAATAAATGTGAGCACCTATTGGTCTGCCTAACTACATGAAATACAACATTCCTCAGAGGTATAATATCTATACTCACAGTTTCATTTCTTTGTGTTTTTGTTTGTTTGTTTGTTTGTTTGAATAATACAAATCACCTACTTTGACACTGTTGAAAGTAGGATAGGTTTTTAGGCAGCAACTATGAAAATGTAGGGGAAAAAGCAAACAAACAAACAAACAAAAACCCCTACAATCACTTAATATAGTACAGCAGAAATGGAGACAAATTCCATCAGTCTTAGTCATCTAACTATTACTATGTGCTACTCCCCTAAATCTGGAATTTATTTAGTTGTTGTCACTTGTCATGTAAACAAGCCAACAGGGACTATTTAAATCTATAAAATTAGACACTAGGTTTTAGGCCCTTCCATGTTTTTTTGATTAGTCCTAGGAAAGATCCTAATCACTCACTGGCTCTCTGGGCACTGCCTTAATGTAAACAAATAAACAGTGATAAAGTTAACTACAACATCTTACTGACATTTTTTAAACCTTAAAAACTATTTTATTACAATTTTTTGGCAAAAGTTCTGAGTTGAGTTCTCACTAGCTCCAAAGCAAGAGACTTCTGTTCCCACAGAGATGATTCCAATTAGTAATTTCACTTGAATTACAACCTATTCTACTTCTTAATTCATAATCAGAGGAATAACTTGTTCAACGACTGTCATCTGCTACTTGCAATCCTACAATATCACAGGCTAGGGTACAATTATAAAAACGAAACCATTTTCTAGGCTAAAACTATTTAAAAGTCATATTTTTCTGTTTAATCTGTCTGAAACTTACTTCTTTTTGTTAGATAGACTGTTCTCAAAGCTTTAATTTTCATGATGAGATTGAATACAGAAGACTTTTTTCTTCCCAAAACACAAGTGTTTCAAAAAAAAAATGTGAGCAACAGAAAGCAAAGAGACAGATTTTTACACAGATTTTTGGAAATGAGTAGGGATATTGCAGTAGACTTCACTTCAGAAAAGCACCAGTCCTTTTTAATGCTCAAGGTATTTTTGGGGCTAGCTGCAAAGTGATCTAGCAATAATGCTAATGACTTATTCAATTATTTTCCTTTTATTCAAAATTATCTGGAATTCCCTTAGGAATGCCATATCAAAATTAATTATTATCTTTCAGTTTCTGAAGATGCCACAGGAAATGTAGAATGAAATAACAAAAGAAAAATAGATCCTGAATCAGACAAATTTTAAATTTTGACTTTATCACAAAGGGATATTCTGTGAAAATGAAAGAAAATAGGCATTTGAAAATACTTGTAGTATTCAGAAATTAATCAGTGATGCTCTAGGCCACAAGATATATACTGAGGACAAAAATTTAGCAAGAGACAAAAGAACGACTAAACACATATTCTAAGAATTTGATTCAATTATAGAAAATTAAGTACTTTAAGTGGTTCTTAATCTACACAGAAAAAAGGAAACAAATTTCCTTTGAAATGAAATGAGCAGATTATGCCATATAGGAATAATCTAGGCATACTAGGGAGTTTCTTGCAGTCTCTTATAAAGTATCTGGTTCTGCTAGATTCAGTCTGTGGAAGTAGGTTGAATTGGTCTGATCCTCCATCAGTGCTTTCAATCCTACCCAAACAGGGCCATATCTGGGGTAACATGCAGCTACACCTCAGTAATGAGTAACAACATTACACAAAGAGAAATGAAATACACATTCCACTGGTATTGTTAGAAAACGTTGGCAGAAAAGGTATAGCTATCCAAACTGAATTTAGAAGTGAAGAATTAATACCCACATTTGGAAAAATAATGTTATCTAGACAGTTTTGCATAAGATTCATGTAAAGTCATTCTAGGCAGTGAGAAAATGGATGTCTGCTTAACCATCTGTATTATTATTCCAGGAGAAATGTTCTCCTTATTCATACATTCCCAGTCCATGCAGGAAGGAAACGATGATTGCTCATTCTAGGATGGATTTTCTTTCAAGCAGAATTGTGATGGTGTTTACTTTGGCAGGGAATAAATTTAGTGCTAGTTAAAACCTTTTTTGTTGACTTTTACACTCATTACATGCTGTTGCAGCAAATCTTGAAAATTATTAATAGTAATCCAAATAGCCAAATGTTTTTTAAAATCACTGTTTGTTGCCTTTGAATCATGTAATCAGATCTTCCTATTTAGAGAACTGCAATACTGAAGAAAAGTATGGTATTCTGAGGAACTAGTTCATTACAGTGTATTTTGCAATATTAATACTGCATAAGGAAGCTAAGAGTCTGGTATAAAGGTTTAAAGAAACTTGAAAGATTTCATAGCTTATCTCTAAATTATTATTTTTTATCAGCAAGATTCCTGAGGGAATGTTCATAACTTCAAGACATCACAGCAACAGTGCAATGTCAACAATTATTTCCAACATGCAATCTGT